TCGGTTGCCCCAACTCCCCCTAGGCCCTAAACCAGACCTGAAGCCCAAATAACCTACCCTGCTTAAGGACTTAAGCGGGAAATCATAAGAAGGAGCTCCAAAGATGAACTTGTCTTAGGGTTCATGTAAACTCCTAAACCTAAACCCTAACTTCGAAACCCTAAACCCTAAACCCTAAACCCTAAACCTAAACCCTATAGATTCGAAACCCTCAATGAAACTGCTTCGGAGGCATCGAAGAGCTGCCACCACTCCATGTCTCGGTTCGGAGCGCTGGCCTTGGAAACTCGAAGTGGAACTGGGCTTCGGACTTATAGCAAAGTACCCCTCCCCCCCCCCAAATATTTAGGGTTTAGGGTTTAGGGTTTGGGCTTAGGACTTATAGCAACAGTACCCCACCCACATTATGGAAGCTAGTTTCTTTAGGGATTATAGAATTTAATAGCATATTATGGAAGCTAGTTTTTTTCAGGGATTATAGATTATAATGGTTAATAACTCAGTAAAGACTCAGAGTTTAGGGCTTGGGGTGTAGTATTCTGGGGTTTGGGTACTGCGGGGGAAGCGAGACCATGAGTCGGGTTCAGAACCTTGTAAAAGCCTAAACCCTAAACCCTAAACCCTATCTATAAGTTACAGAATTATAGTGGGATCCCTGCTCGGTCATGTTTTATTGAGGTTCGTCGGAAGATCTGGGTCACTCGGACTGCTTGCCAGCTGCGCCGTCGGAGCCACAATGCTCGTGACCACAAAGTCTTAACCTCTAAATCCTCAGGCTCCGAGGTCTTGTAGTTTACATACACACGTTTATATATAAATATCTACGATTCATGGGTGTGTGCGTGTGTGTGTGTGTGTGCTGTGCAGTAATAACAGGGAATGCATGGGCGGTGGGTGCCTTGTTTGTCGGTTTGATCTCCTGCAGTCTTGAAGCAGAAGCCTGAGACTTTGCAAACTGTAAACAAGCTCTAAAATCCTAAACCCGAAACCCTAAACTAAAATCTAAAAGCCCCACCTGGATTAGGTGCATCTGGGGTGACGCGGATCGAGATCAGAGACGACAGGCCCTTACCAAGTTCGGAGTTCGGGCTTATGTTGTGTAGGGATTTACGGTTTTAAGGTTTAGGGTTTAGGTTTCTTCGACGGTTGCACTAAGTGTTCGCCTGCAGCCATTTGCTTTTCTGAAGTTCTTGCTCTTACACCGTTTTGGAGTTGCTTCAAGTTGGATAATTTGTTCGATTCGCCGTACCTGTTGATTATAACGCCTATCATAAAGCAGCACGTCTATGCTGCAAAGTCCATGAAACAGGACCCTACGAAAAAGTAGGTCGATAGGGAGAACTTACCCTCAAAAACGAAGACCCATAGGGTTGAGAACACCCTGCAGCGTTGTGTAGGTAGATGGCTTTGGGTTCTTCCCCTTACTGATACCTAAACCTCTCAAGTAGCTAATATAATGGCCCAAAACCTATAAAGGGCTATTATTCTACAGACTTTTGGGATCCAGGTCATCCAAAACCCCGGGTTTCCTGGTTGGTGCTTCAGGCAGTTTCGGCCTTTGTAGCTCCAGGGGCCCTTGAGGGTTTACCAGCAAACCCTCATTTCCCAATCCCTAAACCCCAAACCCCA